GTGTGCACTTGCTGGAGAGACAGGAGAAAAAAAAATGAGAAATCCCCCCCCCCCCCCCCAGGAGAGATGGCCATGCTGCAACCCCTTCTCCTCCATTCTCCTCTTGGGATTTCAGGCACACACACACCCAGTGTGAGTTTCAAGCTGCCAGGTCCAGGACTTGAACCATGGTTGGCCACATGGGAGTCCAGTGCTTTAACCATTATGCCACCTGCTTCCAAATACTTTGGAAATTTTGAAATATCATTGTTAATTGATTTCTATTTAATCCCACTAATGTACTTTATATAGTTCCACTGAATTATACTGAGATTTATTTCATGATCCAAAATATAGTCTCTTGTGGTGAATGTTCCTTGTATGCTTAAAGAGAAAATGTATTTGCTATAGTTTGGTGCCATGTACTTTATCAATTGGGTCCATCTGGTTGATAGTGTTGTTCAAACGTTTTATATCCTTCCTGATTTTTCTCTCTACTTGTTCTACCAATTATCAAGAGACAAGTGTTGAAAGCGCCAGCTCTTACTGTGGGTCTGATGATCTCTCCAGTTTTATCAGCTGTATGCTTTTGCTTTATGCATTCTGAAGCTCTGTATTTGAAATTCTAATAAGTTAAAAATATCTGATTTTATAATTCTCAACTCTATTTTGTTCTATCCATCTATGTATCCTTGTACTAGAATCATTGCTTAATCACTGTGACTTCAGACACTACTTTGATTATTGCTAAAGCAAGTCCTCTCCCTTCCCCTCAATAAACATTTCTTTTTCAAAACCATCTTAACTCTCGTCATGCACTTATTATTTATTCATTTAGAGTGTGAGCTTCAACTGGTTAGGTTCTCACATGTAACCTTAAGTATTTTATATTTTTTATGGAAACTAAAAAGTATTCCTGTAACTCTGAGATGTTTTTTTCCTATTACAGATATAGAACAGGGGTTGGCAAACTTCATTTACAAGGCCAGAGGTAAACGCTTTAGGCTTTATGAGGCACACGATCTCTGCCAATGCTGTGGACTCAGCCACTGCTTTTGCCACAGGGGCAGCAGAGACACTGTGAACCAGGACGTAAACCACACAGACAGGCAGCAGGCAGGGCTGGCCTGCAGGCTACACTCCACCGACCACAGCCAGGGACTAATAGAGTTACAGCACAATTCATTTTTACCTGGTTATTTTGTGTCCAGACTTTTCTAAGCCTTTTTTTTTTTTTTAATTGAGTCTATTATTTCTATGTGGGCAAATATACAAACAAAAGATCATTTTGTTCTAATTTCCCAATATTCATACAATTATTCCTCATTTGCAGTCTTATCGTGTTGGCTAAGTAACTGGGGCGACACTCGGCTCTAACGCGGGAACGAGATGTTCTTGCTCTGCTCTGTGTCCTCACCTTCCGATCGATGTTGCTGCTGATTCCTAACAGGTATTTATCACAGTCAAGTTTCAGATGATGGTTGTAATAGATTTTTAAATTCCTTCTATCAATAATTCAAACTGTTTCTTTGTGAGATCAGTGCTGCTGTGTTTCGGCTGCTACTGGACACAAGCCCAGCACTCCACTGAGCAACCCGCCAACCCTAAACACTGCACCTGGCCTTTAATGGACACTTCCCAAATATTGTTCAATTGCTCAAACCTAAGGACGATGTAGAAGAAAATAAATTCTTCCCATAGATTAGGAAAAAATTAGGTAGGAAATAAATTTTTTCTGTTACAGAGTTTTTCAAGATGCTTCCCTTTGAGATTTTTCAATAAAAACAAATAACTGAAATGACCATTGAGTAGCAAATGTAAACTTAAGTGAAACCTCCATAATGTTTTAGGGAGACGAGGGGGAAGGTTCACAGGAAAATCAATGGCTATAACTAGCAGAGAATAAAACCTACAATGTATACTTCTGAAAAGCTGTGGTCCAACACACCTGGAGCAAAGCAGAGTCTGAAAAAGGCCTATTGAAAGTTGACAGTGAATACTTGTACATATGCTCGTATTGAAACTTTGTAAACTTCCTTTAAATTAGCATTCATATATTCACAAAAATGTCAAGGAAGTTCCATAGTCATAGTAAAGGCAGAAATTGATTCACTACTGGTATAAAGTTAGTATTTCAATTAGTCAAAAGTTTTCCCTTTGGAACTCATCTTCCAAGAATGAAATGAACACAGATTCAATCAGTATTACCAAATTTACCTCTTTAATCTCCCCAAAATAACATAACTTGGTCGGGCTGTAAAAATATGTGGCACATATTTAAAAAGGGACATGTTTAACATCAAGAATTGTGGAATTTTTCCTTATAAGAACCTTTTGAGGCCCAAATAAATAAAAATAGTTGAGACGATACACAGTAAATATTTTAATTTAGATAATAGTATTGAATCATTCCCAGGAGGACTGCTATACATTTTACCTATTATTTTACAGTAACAGAGAAAATAAAATTAGGGATACAAATATTAAAGGCCAATAATTAACATAAAATTAATGTTTAGCACAAACTATTATTTATGTGAACAATGTAAATAGCTAGAATTACCGATTTTATATAATATCAAATACATTTCTGGCATATATTTTATTTTTAAAATGATAATTATCCATTTTAATTCAACCAATTCAAGTATTCATTTGTCCAAAGGAATCAGTTCTTTAAAATTCAAAATTTATAAATTAACATTAAAAATGTTCTCAATACATAAAATATTCTGATCTCCACTGAACAGAAACACTTACTGTGTACACTGTACAAGGAAACTTATTAATTGATTTGTAGCTTAAAATAAATTTATAACTGGCCACCAAAACTCCTTGACCAAAATGTCACTGTAATTGTATGACACAAGGTCCTATAATAAGATGAATGTTATAATGGCCACAGTCTTTTCAAAACCAGAGTGTGGAAGTTTTCATTTTCACAGCTATGAATTTGGTTTTCCAGAATCTGGTTCCTAACTCCAACTTCTAAGTGTTTCAGCAGAGCTGGGGCAGTCATGGAAAGAAATTACTTAATGGAAATCTGGGGGCAACAACTATATAGATCCCCATTTAACAAATACATCCAGTGTAAGAGATACCGTGAATGACTCAGAAGTGCATAACAATGCTCCTGCCAAAGTTGATTGGTTAGCTAAAGGGCAGAGGATAAGAGGCAAATGTACGATTTGCTTTTAACAAAGCAGACTGAGTAATGCATTAGGTGTTAGGGAGGGGTAGGAAAGAACTCAGGCAAGGCAAAAATTTCCTCTTAGACTTTCTATATAAACATCTATTTTGGTTCTGGACTGTTCACCAGTGTGTTCACGTGATGGAAGGAAGGAACTCTGCTCTCCCACAGCCCCATGAAATGCTTCCCAGACCAAGAGGTCCTTGTCTAGCTGCTCTAGAAAGGCCAAGGTCTCTGGGTCCCCACAGCAGCATGGAAGCATAGGATAGAGAGTCCAATCCTAACTGGAACAAATAGAAGAACAAATCTAGCTGAAGAACATGATGAATGTCCTTTCCAAATAAATCTTACCAAATATAGTTTAAGTCCTTTATTGAGCTCTGTGACCCCTTTAACCAGATAGCCAAGCTATATTTGTTTCACGTAACGCTTGTTTCATTGGAGACGGTGGCAGGTACCTTGGTATTGTCTAATAAGATCAAACCCAAACATGCCTTTTTTCAGGGATTGGAGAAAGAAAAGCGAATGGCACATGGAGGCACGGCAGGCACAGCGGAACCTGAAGCGCGGCTCAAGCCTGCTCTTTACGCGGATGCGCCAAGAGACCTGGTGACTTCAAGTGAGAGGCAACAGAGTCCTTAGTTCAGAGTCACAAGTTTCTGAAGAACTTCAAGCACAATTTCATAACAAAAGTGATACTGCTCCTATATACATATATATGAAAAAAGACACTATGTTAAGTAATTGTATACCAATATCCTTTATCAGAGAGCATATTTGTAATGTTGAAACACACAGGAATGTTCCCATCAAAAGCAAACACTCAACTGAAAAAGTTTCAAAAAGAATTTATTTATGCAACTATATATTTTAAAACATGTGGTAGATAAAGACCATAGTATAACTCTTGCTCTTGAACTAGTTAAACTAGGCTTACCTGAGCTGAGGTGAAAATGGTCCATCTCAGTTTCCTTCTACCATCCTCAACTAAATAAAATTCTAAAAATTCCCTTGCATATACTCCATTTACTATAGCCACAAAAAGTATAAGATACCTAGGAATAAATCTAACCAAAGAAGGTCAAGATCTCCACAAGAAAAACTAAAAGAAGCTAAAAAAAGTAATTGAAAATGACACAAAAAAGTGGAAGGACATCCCATGTTCCTGGATTGGAATAATTAATACAATCAAAATGGAAATCCTACCTAAATTAATCTACATATTTCATGCAATTCCAATCAAAGTGTCAGAGACATTTTTCACAGATCTAGAAAAGACAATCATACCATTTGTCTGAAATTATGAAAGACTTGTATTGCCAAAGCAATCTTGCACAAGAAGAGTTGAGTGGGTGGCATCTCATTCCCTAACTCAAAAATATACTACAAAGCCATGGTAATCAAAATAGTATGGTATTGGCAAAGAAATAGACAGGTGGACCAATGGAACAGAATAGAGTCCCTAGAAATAAACTCCCACACATAAAGCCAACTGATTTTTGACAAATGGTACCAATCAATCCAGTGGGAAAAGGAAAACCTCTTTAGCAAATGGTGCTGGATACACTGGATATCCACCTGCAGAAAGATGAATCTGAACTCCTACCTCTCACCATTGACAAAAATCAACTCAAAGTGGATCAAAGATCTAAACCAAAGACCTCAAACTATAAACTTCTGCTGGAAAACACTGGGGAAACTCTGGGAGACATTGGGGTAGGTAAAGTTGCTTTAAAAAAAGCACAAACAATAATCCCAAAAATAGACAAGTGGGATTACATCAGATTAAGAAGTTTTTGCATGGCAAAAGATACAGTAATTAGTGTGAATCCACAGCCCTCAGATACTACCTATGAGATACTACTTAACCCCAGTAAGAATGACTGAGATTAAAAAAATAAATAGATAAGTGCCGGCAGGGCTGTGGTGAAAGGGAACTCTCCTACACTGCTGGTGGGAATGTAAATTGGTCCAGCCACT